AAAATATGAACTAATTGGACTGCAGCTGGGTGGTTGCTTGAGTGTAATCAAATACATCAAGAAATGTTGTTGCAAAGGAATGTTTTAATTTTTTTATATGCATTCCCCTGTTACAGACACCTGTCTGGTTATTTCAGCCATAGTGATCTCATCTGTGTAACAGGGGGAGACATAAATGTGTTGTGTAATGTTGTATGTGTATTTTTTATATTTATTTTTTTTAAACACAAGTGATCAGAAGTCATCAAAGGTTCTCTGAACGAAGGTCTCCAAGCACTCGCTCCCCCTTGCACTGTGCACTACTTCTGCAGCGCAGTGTGGAAGAAGCGCTCTGCAGGGGTCATAGATATTCCAGCACCTTAACAATACAGGTGAAAAAACTCTATTAGAACAATGCTCCACTAGTTTATCCAAATAATCAAATACTCACATTAATTGTAATTGCACTGTATCAGAGTGTGTGCATGTAAGAGAACCCACAAATACAAAATGCATGGTTGAAGTTGTTGCTGCACAGTGATTCATGACATCTATGTTGATTTGAGTAACATGCAAAAAAATCTGTCATTAACACCAAGCTGCTGGTTTACACATCGTGTACTTGGGAACACCATAGACTCATGTACATGGACACTGTATGACATCTTATAGTCACTGACATTTTTCACCTCATTTAACGATCCTATCCTTATTCATCCTTTTTATATTAATGCTGCAGGAACATGATCAATATTATTGAGGCTTTTTCCAGTGAATGCAAAGCAATGTCAGGACCAGGTCTGCAACCACATGCAGTCAAAATCCCGTTTTTTCCACAGCCAATGTTCAGAATTGGCCAGATGCCCTTCTGGACTGTGACCTTTGAAACCAGTGACCTTTCACTTCCCAAGTGATTGCGTTAACCACTGCACTAGGGAGTAATGTGAGAAAATTCCACAAAGCACAGGAGGAACCACCGGTTTCTTTATTCCCCCCCAAGTCCCAAGGAGAATGTTCTAATTGTACTGCAATGTGAATTATTCAATGCGGCAGTAGAGCCATTGCCAATATTATGTCAGTATGACAGACGTCCTTCAGAATTTTCCATTTGTTTAAAAAAAAAAAAAAATCAGCTTAAAACTAAGTGTAAGTACACTTGTGAAAATGTGAACAACCCTTTATAGAACCTACTTCTATAACCTAGAAGTCCAATTAGAGCAGTGGTATTGTAGCTGTAAATTGGGGTGTGCAGCTGTGTCTTTATTGGGGGATCTGCTGCTATTAAGCTACTTTTTAATAGTCATTTCCATCTGAGCTGAAACAACTGAATTTGGCTCAATTTTAACAGGCTACAGTCAGATGCAGACAGTGGACTGCACAGAGCACATTTGCATCTGAGTCTTTACCGGTACAGTGACATCACATAGTGGGGGTGCAAGGAGCTGGTTACTATGGAAACTATCCATATGCTAAGGCTACTGCTAGTAGGCTGATTGATTGCTGTCAAGGGAACATGCATATGCACAGGCTCCACGTGCACCAAGAGCGCGTTCCTTGTTCTCGAGAGCAAAGTTCAGCCCGTCACAAGCTGCAGGCTGAATGGAGATGATGTTGTATCATCGGTTTATATTGCAAAGACTTAAGTTCTAATCTGCTAAGCTGCTGCGCTAAAGAATGGACTTGCCTTTGCAGAGAGAGGCTAATAAGATGTTGGAGGGATGCAATTGGCCTGCCAAGTATTTCACTTGCTGCTGTGAAGGATTATCGGCTGTACAGTCTCATTGCACACATCGCTGCACATTGTCTATATTAAGTCGGAGTTCATTCAACTCGTCTTTGTGATATGGGCTTGTTGATGTGGCTACAAATAAATCCACACTGCCACATGTCCACAAAGAACCCTTAACAAAGACTTCTCATTAAGCATGCGACACTCACATAAATCCAGACAGCTCTACTCGATTTCCTTATGCCTGTTCAGCTGCTGGATTTCATCACTTCCCCTCGCTGTGCTTTCAAAACGTCACTTAGCAAAACCACAGCAGAGAGATTTGGTGGGATGTTCGCCATGATTTACAAATAACATGACAAGCTTGAGGACGGAAAGCCCATCAGCTTTGATTGTAACAAAGACATAAAATGATGAAGGCGGTTTTTAATTAGTATTGATGTGTGCTTGTCCAGCCTCACCAGCTCCTGCTGCCTTTCAGCTGTGATTGCCATTCAGCGGTCATGAAGCCACAGTGGCAGCAGTTCATGCCCAGAGGAATGCCCGAGGTCTCTTGATGAGCTCCATGTGCTTGATTTCCATGAACACTTGTCAGAATAGTCCTCATGTATGCACATCATAGGAGTTTGGCAGAGGGTTTCGGTTTGTGGTAATGCTGCATACTGTTAACTGTAGAGAGTAAGGGCTCGGTCAGTCATAGCCCTTGTTGCTTTTCTGTGGATGTTTAAAATGTATTTTCATTGCTTCAGACTGTAAGCAGGTTCTGGAAACAGTCAGTCTGACGTTGTTCCATCTAAAAGCAGTCAAATCTGGAACGAGTTCCAACTCTCAGAATTTATTTCATTTTCATACTGTGGATATTTTGAGTAACAGGACCGTGAAGTACATATGAGTGGTTTGAAATTTTGATTTTTAGTTTAGGGCTCAAAAAGGCTTGAAAAAAAATTATGACTTCATAAGTACGGGAACTGGCCCCATTATATTACACCCACCCTAAGTGTCATAATCAGTCAGCTTTGCACATTTGGGATTGATCATAGTTTCATAGACATAAAACTGCACCACTTTACTGTCTTTGCTGAATCAACGGCTGGGTTGATCCAGTCTGTGTTTTTAGTGTTTCGTGTAGATTCCCATCTTAATTCTTAAGAACCTGTCACTGGCAGATGTTCTCAATGTTTTTTTTTTTTTTTTTTTTTTTTTTTAAATAAACAAGCTTAATATTTGACAGCTGTGATCATGCTGTCACGGTTGCCCGGGACACGAGGAAAAGCCAAAACTTTGTTACCTAAAAGAGAACTGCATCCCATCATTGGTACGTTTTCACACATCATACTGTATATCAGGGGTCCCCAACCTTTTTTGCGCCACGGACCGGTTTATGCCCGACAATATTTTCATAGACCGGCCTTTAAGGTGTCGCGGATAAATACAACAAAATAAAACTAGAACCAGTACCGAAATTTTTTTTTATTCATAACACACGTGAAAGACCAAGGAAAACAGAGTAAACGATAACAAAATAACGCTGAAAACCGATAAAAACCCTGAAAACTGTACATTTCACACCTGAGCCTCAACTCTCACGGCCCGGTACCAAACGACTCACGTACCGGTCCGAGGCCCGGGGGTTGGGGACCGCTGCTGTATATGATCATATGGGCCATGTAATGTTATGGCAGATGATGGAGACTGTAAGTGTGTGCTGTGGCCCTCCTTAGATTGTTTCAGCTAGCTGACTGAACAGATGGAAATAGCATTCGTTCTGATGGATGTGGTTACTGAAAACATCTACTTTGGGAGGAAAATCTAGCATCAACTGTGTTTGTGTGTGAGTAATTGTTGTGTTGTGATTGTGTGTAACTGAAGTGGACCCTGCAGGTCAGGTTGGCTCACGGAAGTATCTTTCTTCAATATTTACCCCCGTCAACTAGAGGGTGTGTGTGTGTGTGTGTAACTGGGTTTTTATGCAGGTGTAAACGTCTCTCCTCATGTCCTTCACACAGTGTTTAAGTGGACTCCAAGCAGCAGGAATTCTGCTTCACCAGATGGTGCTTCCAGGTGGAGCAGCTTGACATCCGTACAGGGGTAGCAGTTTAAGAGGCTTGTCTGTGTGACATGCACAGACATCAGTTGCCTCTAAAACTGGTGGGAGGGAAGTTGGCGTGCTCTGCTGGGCACACTCTGTTGGAAGTGATGACAAGTGTATATATTTAAATGTTGTTAACAGCTGCTTCTCTTTCCATTCGCATGTATGAAGATGCAACGTAATTAAAGTAGTCGTGAGATTGCCCCCACCCAAAAAAGGCTGCTACATTTTGAGTGCTGTAACATTAGTTTGACTGATGTTTTACACTTCAGAACAACAGAGTTGCATTCATGCAAGGTCACAAGGTCGCATCTGCCTTATGATCACACTCATAAACCTTTTTCCTTAAGTATTATCTTTGTGCAATCAGTCCATTAAAAAGAAGAAAGAAATTCCTCGTGTTCTTGTGTTTTGCAGTAATAATTTAACAAAGTCCTAATCAAACAAAGCATTTTACACTCTGCACAGAATGTCAGCTCCTGGTGTTTACTTGACAACCCGTCACTGAGTGTCTGTTAACTGCAGCAGCAGTTGCTCTATAATGACACAAAACGATGAAACAAATGTTAACATGTATCACTGGGTTTGCTCCCTCTGGTTTACAATGGTTAATGAGGCTTGAAAGGGACGACCTATGCTCACTCCTAGCTCCCTGCTTGTTGTTCTTGGGTTCGAGTAGTTTTGCATGGTTCAAAATGCAAAAAAGTTCAGCCATTAGTGGCAAATGCTCCTCCCTGCGCCTGGTTCTTCCTTCCCGCTGTTCCAAATTGCTTGCTCGTTGGGTCGTCTGATTGCTGGGCTTTTCTTTCTCTTATTGCAGGCGCTGTTAATTTTGACAGCAGTGTTTTAGTTCTGACTGAAAGGTCATTTAGTCACTTTGAAAGCATCCAACTATTTCAGTTTTTGTCAATTAAGTGTCCTAAATCTAGTTGGTGTAAAAGTTTGTAGTTTATTACTACCATGACCTACGGTTTTGTTTTGCAAAGTGTCTTACTGTCCTTGATATGAAATGTGTCTACATGTTTATGCTTCTTTATGCTTTCCTGCCTCACAGGAAATATTGCCCAAACTTAAAAATTAATGTAAACTGTGACTAAAATGACTCTGGACATGATTTGTCATCTATACCTGGAGCATTTTGAAGTTGTTCCTTGGCCCGTTTGGACTCTAACCCGTGTCTGTGCTCTCTTCTATCTCTAACAGCGGAGCCCCTCCCCCTCATGGACCTGTGCAGACGAGTAGCTCGACTGGCTCTGGGTAGAGAGCGCATCCATCACATTGACACACTCCCCTTGCCGCAGACACTAAAGAACTACCTCCAGTACCAGTGACGGCACATACACATTAAACGCACACAGCAAGAAACTGAGGCCCATTTGTTCTTATGGTAACCAGCCTCTGGACTGAACATCAGACATCTGCTGAGGATGCAGGCGATGACATTGAACAGGTGGTTAAGATGCCACCGCAAAGGGTTTTGTTTACACAAGTTTGGGGGTTTTCCATTTTGGGTGTTTTTATCTTCTGGTTTTATGCTTTTTTTTTTTTTGACTTGTTTCCATCTTCTGACAGATGACTATAGGAGCTGATGAATGAAATGAAGGGAGCGAGAGATTAAAAGAGAACGTGTCAATCCATTTTCCTATGTCGAGTCTAACCACATGTCCTCAGATAGAAATGCTGTGGTTTTCGGGTAACAGTTTACCCAGACATCTGCTGTGCACAGACTCTGTGGAGGCTTCCTCGGGAACATATTGATATTTATATTCCCAACAACACAGCAGGCTCTGTGGAGACTCGACAATCCCTGCAAAGCCACACGCAGTTCTATTTTTGCTGCTGTGTACACGGCACACATGGATCACGTATAGGCAGCCTGTGTATAGAAACAATGTGAGCCCGGTCTGTAGCAAGAAGACGACTCTCTGACAAGCAGGCAGTAATACACGCAGGCTAGAAAACAACCCCGCTCTGGTTTCAGATTTTTAAATCATCCGTCTCTCTGCTGCCAGCTGTACTCTCTCTCTTTCGTTCAGTATCTCTCCACCCCTCGCTCCAATGTGATTTTTAAGCCCCCGTCAGGCTTAGTGAACTGAAAGGACCGCAGACACGCCGTTGGTCGGCTCTGTAGCTCCTCTAACACTGATAGGGATTGATCCAAAGTTGAAGCAGGGGCCCGCTCTGCTACAACACACAAACACACATTTATCAGGAAACGCTTCTTTCCCCCCAAAATTTTAAATGCTGCTTATCCTCCATATGACTTATGATGTTTTTTGTTTTGTTTTTAATCACTGACGTACCCTTAGACTTTTTTTCTTTTTAAAAAAATGAATTTTATGGGATTTTGTTTTTCTGCAGGACAGGATGTCTCGCCTGTATGGTTGGAAGAATGTGCTGCCATGAAAATGTTTTAAATGTGAATAAGAATAAACTGAGATGAATTAACACTGCCTGGCTCTGTTCTCTGACATTAAAGATTTATTTTTGGCCTTTTTCCCCCTCAGCTGTAAAAGCCTGATGGGGGATTGTGGTCACCCCGGTGGGTAGGCGTGATGGACCCAGGTTTGTGAATGCTTTAACTTGAGAACGAGGTGACAATAGGAGCATTTGCTAAAAATCTTGGATGAGTTTGAATACGACTGATCTTGACCTCAAGGTCAGTAAGTTTTCTGAAAAACTTGCAAATGCGATAAGTTAAGCGCCAGACCACATAAGATTTTGAAATTGAAACCATGTGTGTCTGAGGGGTAGCACTAATGGCTGCCAGTATTTTTTATTTTTATGAGAAAGAAGGGACATGCAGGGTGAGGGGGTGACACGTTGAGGAAACAAGCTTGGGGCAAAATTAAACCCAGGCTCCTGCTGTAGCACATGCTTCACCCACTTGATCCAGTGAGCTAAACCAGTGCTTAGAACACTGATGTGCTAAACTGCAACACTGAGCAGCTGTTTGGTCACCGTGGTCTGCTTTGTCACGTTACATTTGCTAACCGAAGTGGGCTTTTTGTTTTTTCTCTCCCAGATTGTTTTAAATTTAAAGTTGAACCAGAAGCTGAAACCAACTGGAGGGAATGGATTAAAAACATTATACACCTAAGCTGTGCACTTTAGTGAGCACATGTAATCAACATAATACCTACAGTAGGAAGTTATTTCTGGATGTATTAGTACCCGCTTTAAACCACACACACAAAAAATCCCTGATCCCTGAAAGATTCCTTCAATTATTTATTTATTTCCTGGGATGTGGACGTGTGAAAGCTGTCTGTGGGTGTTACTCATACCAATATGGCTCTTTGCTTCCTTTACATGCATCTTTGCTTTTTAGCTCCTTATGGTGACGGTGTCAAAGAGAGATTTTTAGGGTGGAGGAGCTGAAGGGCTCCACGTGAGAGACTTCACTTATCCATCCTGATAAACATCCGTCAGCTGTTACATGCTGTATGGTTAGATCGCCAGTCAAAGCAGACGGCTGCTAAAAACGGCTTCTTTTGTCATCCTTCAAGAAAGATCTTTGAAATTTGTATTAGCAATTTGTAATACTGATTTTAACCATTTTATATTTCTTTGAAGTTTTCTCAAATCTGTATGGATCAGTGTTATTTCTTCCACTGTTTATGTACTCAACACAGCTGTGTAAATAGGTTTGATTGTCCAAGAACTGAACTGAACAAGCAGAAGATGATGCATGGATGGATTTTCTGATATATTACAAAAATGATGCAAGCGATAACTTATGTTATTACATCCATCATCCGCTTCAATTACCTTATAAGAAATGTGGATTTTACACACTCTAACTTAATAGTGCGTAAAATGAATAAAGAATTTTTACATGAAAAGCTTACAATGTTCACAAGTGCTCAGCATCCCCCCCCCCAAGATGCACAGCATATGTCTATATGATGGCCAAACATCCCGAGCATGTCTTAAATCACAGCAGCCACTGCTATTGTTATGCCTTGTTGTTATACCTATCAGCAAATACGTGAAACTCGAGCATCTGCTCTTTCCAACAGTACATGGTTCAGTTGTTACCAGTAAACTTTGACCTTCAACACCTGGCTCCAGCCGAACTTGTGTTAGGACACAATATAGTGTTCGCTTCTCATTCTCAGAGATCCATAATTGTAAATTCACAGGCTGACATTGAACGTATATTTACTGTATAATATTTGTATAGTATGTTGCTAACCACATCTACCCCCATAGATTTTATGCATGTAGCCTAGTTTCCTTTCATCGGTCACCGTCATTGGTGTGGCATTAAATGACAAGTCTGCTTTAATTGGCTCTTTGTGAAGTCATATACAAGCAGCTGTGAATTCTGGTCATTTAAAAGTGTGTATTGGCAATAAAACCAGTGACATCACACAGCATTGAAATCAGTGTAGTTACTCCAAAGGTCTGCAGTGATACAAAGTCCTTTGCTGCTGTCAAAGCCCCCCTGATGCTGGTTTTGGTGTCGAGTCGAGATGAGGTGCATCTATGAACTGGATTTCCCCGTGCCGGGACAGCCTTTGAACACCAGAACAAAGCTGCTCGTGTGATCAAAGTTCAGCTCTGTGCTTCTTTTCCTGGCACTGCCAACAGAAAATCCATTAATGTTGTTGCAGCAGAAAGCAGCCTGTGTTGATATCATAATCGTAACAAGAGGCATCTCTACCTCAGTGAGAGGGAAATGTCCAGCGAGACAGCTGTTGGATGAGAACATTTAAAGCTTTAGTAATGACACAAATGTGTCGAGTTAGCCTTTAATAATACCTGGCTATCAAGAATGTGCTCATTAAGCTCTCTGCCAACACAAGGGTGAGCAATGAAACGTGAGTCACTGCAGAGACGAGATCAGCCGTGAGCTTCTGCCTGCAATCGATTCTCCTGCTGTAGCATATAGTGCTGTTCAATAATGCAGGAGCCAAGCATTTAAAGCATTATTGGAACAGGCTGAAAGTTAAAGCTGATGACTTGTTTGATCAGGTTGGGAGTGACTCTTCTCATCCAGATCCATATTCAGCTGCTGCCTTACAGCGAGGCTTTACTTCATCTCATCATCTCTTCATCTCGCCTCCTCTGCCTCTGCTTCCACCATCACATCCTGCCTTTTCCTCCTATCTTCTTTTCCGACCGCTCTGCTCAGGCGATATACTTTTTTTTTTCTTTCGTTCTTTTTAAAAAATCCTCACATCACCGTTTGCTTTGCTCAGAAGCACACCTTCCATCCCCGAGCTTTTATCTGGAAGGGAAAATGACTTTCAGGCCAAGAGAAGCATTTCTGACAAAGGAAGTGCCAAGCATCCTTTTCCCTTCGCTGAAACCGCAAGCTCTGCTGCCTCCCTTTTCTGTGCTTGTGTTATACATATGCATGTATGGAGAGCAGCTGAGGAGATGGTTGGTTGGAGGTCGGATGTCTCTGATACAGAGACAGGCAGAGATCCATAATTTATGGAGGGGGGAAAAAATCCTGTCTGCTTTGCTTGGTAAGTTATGTAAAAGCTAACATTTAATTCACTCCTCTAGATCACACACGGAGATCTTCACACGCCTAAATTCCTCAAAGCAAAGGATGTTTCTTTGACCTACTTGAGGATTTGCATGGCCGCAGATGATAAGAATTGGACTGCTGCTACATTTATGTCCAGTATATGTTCAGTGCCGACATGAAAGATGCTTTTTATCACCTTTTTTTTTTTTTTGTAGTTTTAGGTTTGAATGTTAAAGATTCTTTTCAGCATGTTTCATATCTTTAAACTACCCTGCAAACACTAAGCATTTTGCTGGTAATTTAAGATTCAGAGGTTTTTTTTTTTTTTTTAAGTGTCTGTTATCAAAAAGATGGACCGCTATCCAAGCTCCCCACCCCCACAAACCTGTCCACAGGACACAGAATTAATAAAGTAAAAGCAACTCGTGGGCTGCAGTAGTTTTTACTGTGATTCTTTAAACGAGCAAGAACACAGCAGGCCGAGATGCTTTAATCACATGAAAAGTCACAGGATATATCCAGATATAGAGATAGAGATATCTATATAGAGAGATTATATCTATACATGTTGTGCCAAAAATTGGTCCACCTCAAAGAAACCAAACAACCTTTGGCAAAGTGGATGGCACAACACAGAAGAGCCAGGACTCTGCAGTCTGTTTACACCTAGAGGCCTGTGGACACTCTTTCAATGGTGAGGATGTACACATCCTGGACAGGGAGGAACACTGGTTTGAGCGCGGAGTCAAGGAGGCCATTTATGTGAAAAGGGAAAGACTATCTCTGAATCGAGGAGGGGGCCTAAGGGTACATCTGTCGCCATTTTACAACTCTCTGTGAATGGTACTCATGGGCATTGATCAGTGGTTGTTGATCAACGGTCATGCCAGTTTGCATAATAATGATCAAGGAACTGACCTCACAGCCCATTGTTCATTCAGTGGGAAGGTTTCAGTTATTGTGCACATGTACTGTTTAGAAGGTTGGGGAAACCTGCAGTCAGCTGAGACCGAAGAAGTCAGGATGAGTGACGAAACATTTCTCCCACTGAAAACGCCACGTCCAGATGAACAGAATCAGCATTTTGGGATTTACTTACCTGATTGAGTATGCATCATGACATAAATATATAATATACACACTACCAGTATGGACATACCTTCTCATTTAATGTTTTTTTTTCTTTATTTTTACTACTTTCTACATTGTAGATACATACTGAAAATATTAACTATATGAAGCAAGATAAATGGAATAATGTAACAAAGAAAAAATGGATAAATAACTC